TGACATCAATGCTCAACTGTAAGGATGTGCTTAAGTTCTTTCCTACTCAGCAAGTCACTTAAGCACAGTCATAAGTTCCATGGATAAAGTGCCAAAGTGCCTTGCTGAATAGGAATGGACTTAAGCACCTACAGGCAGTTAAGCACATGTTTTGTTTAATCAGGGTCTACAGGAGAACAGAGCCCACTTTATCAGCTGACCAACAAAAATGTACTTGTGAACTAACTGCATTGATAGAAGAAACAATATTCACGGAGTCTGGCCAATGTCACTAGATTATTTACGTGTTCTCCATCCAAGCAAATGGGAACATGAGAGGCCGTGTGCAACATGAGCACTTCCATCTTGCTGAAAGAAGGGATGTGACAACATGGAACACGAGTGTGCGAACGAGTACCCACATTGTCACTTGCTCCTGATCAGCCTGACTACATGCACTATAAACATGTAGTCACAAGAGAGAGAAAATGAGACCAAAAGGCACTGGGTTTTCCAGGCCTGCTTCCATTCAAGTCAGGGGGCGCTTTGCCAGAATCGGGCCCTCGGTTTGTAACTATACGCTCAATCAAAAGCAAATGAAAGTTGGTTTCTCTCTCTGAGCAGAGCAGAGGGGCTTGATCTAATTAAAATGCACCTTGATTGCCCATTCCTACCTGCCCCGTACAATACAATGCCCCTTTGGAATAGTGATGCAGGCATCGTATACCCCACAATGAATAGCACTGTTCTCGTGCAGCAGAAGCGACATTGCTCTGGAAGATGCAAAGTCTCTTCCCAACTGAATGAATTGGGCAAAACAACTCAGTGTGAGGTGGGTAAACACTTTGTTTTTAATGTTCAAATGTTAGCTCAACAGAGCTTGAAAAGAGCAATTTTATGAGTTGTACTGGGGCAAAGCATATTAGCTTAGTGTGCTAATTAATTACCAACTAGCGCTCCGGCGGCAACTGAATCAGCAGAGTATATAATTAAGCCCAAGACTTTTATAGATGTATTTTAAATGTTCTTCTAGAATTCTCTCTCTGGAAAAATGCAGAGGAGAAGCAAGTACCTATTAAAGAGAAGGCAGGAAGGTTGCAGTACCCAGCCATCATGAAATCTCAGCACAGAGCTGTAAAAATGTTTTCAAAGTGAATTATATTGATTTTTCTTTCTTTTTTAAAAAAATGTAGCCGTTGTGATCCTAGCAAGTGATCTTAAAATATTGTTCAAAGAACTAGGAGCTCATCGAGTGACAGAGAAGGGAATGGAGACAAGCAAAGACCCTGATCCAGCAAAGTACTTAAGCACGTGATTAACTTAAAGCACGTGAATAGTCCCCTTTACTTCAAATGTGTCAATGGAACCGTTTGTGTGCTTTCAAGTTAAGCACACACTCAAGTGTTCTGCTGGATTGGGGCCTAAATTCCCCTTTGATGCACTGAATATTATGTATAAGACGACTTTAAAATAAAATGTTTAAAAAGAATATTTTCCTTTGTTGGTAGGTTGAGTACAACTTCCATTCTGACTCCTCTGTTTCTGTTGCTCAGAACATTCTCAAGCAAATAAGTTTGGAATTGAAATTTGCTCAGAAAAGTATTTTTTTCTTTGTTTGTGAAAAGTCTGAGAGGAATTGATTTAGAGATTTTTGAATTATGGTTGCATGGAAAAAAAGTATCTGTTCTGATCAGTAATTCTGTGAAGAGATAACAGAATTGGCTGAATAGAAAAACAAACGGCTACCTTTGTAGCTTTCACTAAGAGCTAACAAAATTAGTAACTGGGAAACTTTGTGCATGAACATTGGAATTGTGCTCTCTGGTTTTCTTAATAACCTGGGCTTGGAGTATCTCAAAGATGAGAATGGCGGAGTTAAAAAGGCACCCTGTCAAATACCGAATGCTCAGACGTATCACAAGCTCTAATGGCAATTTTTATTGGATCAGGTCAGTGGTCGATCTAGCCAGTATCCTGTTTTTAACAGTGGCCAGAACCAATGCTTCAGAGACAGGTGCAAGAAACATTGCAATAGGCAACTACGGGATAACCAGTCCTCAGTTTGTTCCTAACTCAAATAGTCAGAGAATGGCTTATGCCCTGAAGATCCAGGGTTTATACCCCTATCAAAACTCTCTTTTTAAAAATGTTTACTATTCCAAAACTGGATAGTCTTGTTATCTATATAAACGTCCAATTTAAAAAAAAAAAAAACATCAAAAATCTGATAATCTTTTGGCCTTAATGATATATTGTGGCAATGAGTTCCACAGGGTAAATAAAGAGAAATTAGAAAAAACTAAAAGAGCATAGAGCGTTAGAGCTACCTAAAAAAGAGAGTGGATGCACAAACCTGGATGAACTGAGTTAAGGTTGGAAGCTCAACCTTAATGTCGTGCGCTCACATATAGAATGTTACATGTTAAAACTTCTTTGTATCAATATATTATTTGTGAAAATAATACAACATATAATGAAAACCGACGTCACTTTAGTCCAATTCTAGGGCTTAGTCCTGCCCCAAAAGCCTAGTCCAGCCTGAAAGCTCGTCTCTTTCACCAACACAAATGGTCCAATAAACAATATTACCTCACCCATCTTGTGTCTCAAATATCCTGGGACTGCATAGTCCTGCACCAGTAAAGTTTTGTCACTGACTTCAGTGGAAGCAGAATCTCACTGCTATGGAGGGAAAGCAAGAGAGATGCAGTAATCATCCTATTTTAGCATTTAGGCTTGAGTACGGTCTGCCCTTGCCTAACCTCTCCCTCTAATCGATGCTTAATGTGGTTTTGAATTGCTAATCCACATTAGATTTCTTTTATGCAGAGTCATTCAGGACCAACATATGGTTGAGGAGCAGGGAGGGGGAAATAACTGATGGAGGAGGAATGGTTTCCCTGCTAAGTTCTAGCACAGTCTAGACTAATCAAATGGAATCATCTTACCGCGTGGGTCATCTGAAGTGAGGCTCAAAGCCCCTCAAGGGAGTTGAGGCTTGCTAGACACATTTTTTTAGAAGACAAATGCAGGCAAAAATCCAAGGACTTTAGCAATCATCCAACTATCAGGAGCCCCTGAGCTGAGGAGACAAGAACCTGACTGCTCCACGTTCTAGAACAGGATCAGGAGTACGCCACCACCAGGATTAAATGGTTCCTCTCCCAGTTTTTCTTCCCGGGGTTCCAGTTTAGAAAATCTGTTCTTCTGACAGCAGGACCATTGTTACTAAGCAGCATGTAACAAAACCCACATTCCCAGTATGTATGTCAGGGAGCTCTGCTATCCCCAAAGCACTAAATTTAATATCTTATATAAACAGTCATGATTAAAAGATAACCCAAAACACTCCTTTGTAGGCTAGTCTTAGAAATTCCCCAGGTAAAACACGGTAAACCCATGACAAGGATTTACAAGCAATAAAGGTTTTTTGATTAAGTATCTATTATTTCTATAGTACTGAAAAAGACTCTGAAGTAGCCTCCACTTTGCATCCCCGTCTGTTGCAAGGTGGTACTAGAAAATTCTATTAAAACGGCACGTGCCAGTGAACATTTCCCTCCATATGTATATAAAGATTTTCCACTGGCTAGAGAACTCTCTCTTCTCCAGGACGGGCTCCTCTTCTTACAAGACCCATCCAGCTATCATAGGACAAGACTCCTCTTGCCAAAGTTTACATGTTTTATTATTTTTTCCCCACAGCCTCTGGGACTTATTCTAATCTGACCAGGTTGGTGTAAATCAGAAGTAACTCCAGTGATATTAATGAGGTTCCACCGAAATCTGGTTTCAGTAAGAAACAGGCAGCGCATTATTGACTTCCTTACACTTCCTTTCACAATACCCACAACCACAACTACAGCCTAAGAAACAAAGCCTGTAAAATGGGTTAGCCAGACCAGATCTGTGAGACTGTTCCTCAAAAGAGGAAATGCCACATGATGCTGACCTGGGACACAGCTAATCAGTCCATTTACAGAGCTGATGGGAAATACTTACAAGACCATATGGTCCAAGAATCCGTGGGTGGACTACTGACAAGCTTATTTTTCTCACTGAGACAAGAAAAAGGATTCCTCATTACTCACTTCTGGCAGTGCTGCCGTATTTCACCTTTCTGCCACTATTCAGCCAATACAATAGCCAACTACAGAAGAATAGGGGGAGGATTTTTTAGGTGCCTAATTATGGATTTAGGAACCTAACTTTTGTTGTCTATATTTAAAAGTCTCAGCATCTGGTGGAGTGAAACTGTTCTCTATTGCAGCTCCTCAAGAACAGTTTTGATAGCTCCTATGGGTCTATATTCTCACAAACGCAGGCTGTTAATGAGAGATTCCATTCATTATGGAATTGTCCTTACCACACTTATTGGCCACTCGTGACACGTTTTTCAAATTTTAAAAACTCAAGTACAAATTTAAACAAAGCAGAAAATGGCATCAGTAAATAACAAACACACAAGAAACTTACCTGACTTGGTCTGGGGCCAGTGGCATGGTAGTGGTCATGTCACAGCATAGTGCACGTCGGAGCATTGCAGATGTGAAAATGGCCACCTATAACTTCTAACTTCAGGGGAATGCAAGAAAAGGTTTGCCTTTGTTTATGTGCTGAATGCCCACCTCTCTCTATTGGTTGCCTTAGCAACTTGTAATGATTTCAGATCTTTCAATGCTCTGTTAAACCCTTCCTTGACATGTGAACACCCAGATGTAATCTTGGAATAGAATGGAATCTTGCTTTAATCCCTATGTACCAGGACTTCCGCAGTGTGCTCAGCACTGAGAAAACATGTCCACGTCTCCCCAAAGTGATGGATAGCTCTCCCCCTGGCTCCAGTTCAAATCTCAAAGCTTCATGTCGTAAAGACACGTTGTAATAAATTAACTTTTATTGAAAAGCTCACATCAGCCTTTATTTTTCTTATTTGCCCCAGTGCAAAATTAAGTTATTTAACATCTAATTGGAATAAACTGAATTGCAGGTAGCTTTAAAAAATGAATGACAAAATACACTTAAAAAGAGGATCAGACACTTTAATCTGGTGGCTATGGAGGAATGGGAGGGGAGACGGAAAGAATGTGTTATAAGGTCTGTCTGATACACAACCTACCATCAGTTTTTCCCACTCACTTCTGTTTAAAAACCACTGTTTAGTGTACAACATGCACTTAAAATTGACAACACGAGATGTAATCCATTAAATATACTGTCTGTAGACAGGAATCATTAGGGATGATAAAAGATTAAAATAAAAAAGCACCAGGGCTCAAAGGCCATTCTAAGATGATGTATATCTGTAGGGATAGTGTCATGCCATTGATCAGAGATCTACTGCAACATGCTATAAGGTCTGGTATTTGGTCCCCTTCTTGCACACGTTTTGCAGAAATGTACTTCTTTGGAAAAGTGACATCACAAGCTCTGCATAGGCGAGGGAGAGGGGTAACATCAGACCCCCAGCTTATTGGCTTGGGTGAGGACAACTTTCAGCACTGGCATGAAGGCAGACGTCTCGCTGAAGTTGCTGGTGCTGACTATGTGGGTGTGGATGTTCAGTCCCTCTGTGTAGTTGCGCGTTTCGATGCTCTTTGCAATGCTGTGCAAGCCGTTGATGATTGCTGGGGAGAGCTGAAATGAAGCCGAGACACAGAAGGAAGTTCAGCAGAAGGAAATGCATTCAGTATGCCAAAGCCAGAAGACTGAATAGCCCAGGTCAAGCATCAAACCACAGTGCTGCTGTGGCACCTGGGTCATCCCTTGGAAAAGGTGTGGCAAAGAGCTAAAGCATTTTGGATCCAAAATGAAGCCTAATGAACTCAATGGCAGTCTTCTCATTGACCTCAACTGACTTTGGTCGGGCCCTTTTACACCAGTGTTTCCAGGCTGTTCAGAGGGGAAGAATATTAACTGACATCAAAATACAAGAAGAAAAAAATGCCTGCAGAGTTCTTCTGGGATGGGGCAGAGGCTCACGGCAAACTTGTATTCTGGGACATACAGCCAATTACACACATGGCTTTACACCACTATTACACCAGCATCTCCCTGAGTTCAGAGCACCTGTGTTAGTGAGGACTATGAACAAGACACATTAATGGCTTTATTGTTATTTATGTACTTACTTTAAGGTCTGTCTCCTCTTCTGGAAGCATCCCATGAGCAAGTGTCAACAACAAAAAGCTTTATCGCTAAGGAAAGAGGGTCTTGTGGTTATGCCATGGGGGCTGGTGCTGAGCAGAGCTGAGTTCAGTAGTTGGCTATGCCACAAAACTTCGTGTGTGACCTTCGACCACTCACTTAGTCTCCATGGGCCCCATCTGTAAAATGGGGATGATACTTCCTCTCTCTGATTTGTCTATTTAGATGGTAAGCTCTTTGGACCAGGGACCCCTATTGTGTGCTTTTAGCACAATGGGAGCCTGATCTCAGTCAGGGCCTCGAGGCACTACCACAATACAAACGCCATAACTCCACACAGGCATGAGAAGTCTGCACACACTCACAGTGCCAATCATTCTAGGTAATGATGAATATGTGATAATTAAACCTGGATCAATGCCATCTTTGCAAGAAAGTCTTAGAAATGCCTACAGCATAGGAACAGACCTGTGCAACAGTATTCTACCGAAATGTCATGCGTCTAACCAATGATATAATATATATAAATGCAACATCAGATGGAAAAAAATATTTAAAGACAAAGTAATAAAAGAACAAAACTACTTACTGTCTGTTCCCTAAGTTTGTCATACAGAAACTCCAGGCGTTTGTTGGCATCATCTAATTTCCTCTTCGTTTGCTGCAGGGGAAAAAAGGAAGTGGAGTGGTACTAAGAACAAAGTTCTGATTTGATAGTGAGAATATGATTTAGTCACAAAGGGAACCATGTAACAAATGAACAGCAGCAACTGAGATTCCCTGATTAGCACTGTTTTCATTAAGACTTTAAGCTGTTTGCTCAGTACCTTTTGCCACTGATTTTACTACAAAAGACAAAGACTAGATGATAGTAGAGAGCAGCCAACCCCCACACCTAAGGGCTGGTCCACACTACCCCCCACTTCGAACTAAGATACGCAACTTCAGCTACATTATTCACGTAGCTGAAGTCGAACGATCTTAGTTCAAACTTACCGCGGGTCCACACGCGGCAGGCAGGCTCCCCCGTCAACTCCGCGTACTCCTCTCACCGAGCAGGAATACCGGCGTCGACGGCGAGCACTTCCAGGATCGATTTATCGCGTCTAGACAAGACACGATAAATCGATCCCAGAAGATCGATTGCTTACCGCCGGACCCGGAAGTAAGTATAAACGTACCCTAAGGTTCTGCCTACCTACTGCACTGCAGTAATACAGCACATGTGTCGTTTGTGAAACATTCTGCAAAGTTTTGGGATTTAAAAATGTGTGACATAAATATATAGTATACATTTTGTTTTGCAGCTAACTGGAAAAACATGATTTCTGTTGAGTAAAAATAATGCTAAGATCAAAATAGCCAGCGGCCCAAGAAATAATTTTGTCCTGAGAGTTCAAGGACTGACAGTAATAAAAGACAAAAACAAGAAATGAAATTCACTAGTTTAAAACCTACTCTGATTGTATTTTCATGGCAAGGCTAGTAAGAGTAAAAACAGGAACATGTGTAAACAAATTCTTACTGCAAGCAGGAAAAAACAAACAAACCCCAAGCTACAAAACATCTTTCATGCTCATTGAGAGTTCTGATTTTGCAGAGACAGAATTTTATGGGTGCAGTTTGATCTTTTCTGCCACAAAAATGATGACATTTCTCTTAGAATAGCAAGTTTTCACCTGTGATAGATTCATGATTCCTGCCCAGGGTGTGGGGTGGAATTTCACCATGTTCCACCAAAAGTGCCACATTCATTAGTGAGATGGTGAATTTTCATCCCATGTCATGTATGTGAACAGCTGTGAACTTGAAGTTTTGCACATGACTAATCAAAGTAAAAACAGAGTCCTCCAGCCGTAAATGAGACAGTGAAATGAGAGGCCAGCAGCATTGGAGACACCCTAGGTTTGGTAAAGATTTTGGGATTCCTTCTCCCAACGCAATCCAGGACCTTCTAGAATCAATAACTTCATTTACCAGAGAGCATTTCACTGAGTTACTGTACGCAGTAAAGCACTAACAAAGAAAGAGAAAGAATGAAAAGTTATACGGCTGTATTTCAGTAGAGATTTGAAGTGTGATGGATGGTTGATATGGGAGAAATAAAGGAAGGTTATTACAGATGGCAAAAGCTTCAAGGAGAATGTCATTCCACAAGCACATTCTAGAGTTAGCGTGGCATAACCCTGCGTGGTATCCAGGGATTTAAAGAAGAAAATGATTTCCCAAAATGACAGGGTGAGAAAAGAGCCTCTTGGTGTGACCTCCCACATATAAGATTTTGTCTCAAATCACTTGACAGCCTGGGTACTAGCCTCTTTTTACAAAGGGAGGAATTGACGCATAGAAGGATTAAGTGATGATAATAACATCTGTGTTCAGTAAATGGCACAAAGTCACAACACAGGTCAGCTGCAGAGCTGCAGGTAGTTCTACTGACTCCCGGTTCCCTGTTTTAACCACTAGACAACACTGTCTTTCATACCAAGTCCTGTATTTGTACATAGCCTGGTAGAGACTGCCCATGTGCTAATGATATCTATTCCTCAAATATACGGAAGGAATCATGAAAGCTTTTCCAGCTACTGATTCCAAGGAATGTTTGCTCTGCCCAAGAAAATCTGAGAGATTTTTAAAGAATTAAACAAATGACTGGGCTGATGCCCCAGAAAAAGTGACCTTTTCATATGGAGAAAACAAGAGAAAGTGAAGTGATGTTAGAACGTGAACTGAATTTTCTTCAGGCCATTCTTACGTTTGCTGCCCAGAAGGGAGAAGGTATAATTATGGGAGCAAACACATTGCTGCTATATAGAATACCATTTGAGATCTTAAATGAAAGCCAGGATCATGCTGGCCAAAAATATCATTGTGAAATGTGTGCACTCATTATATTTAAGAAGTTATGTCAATATACTGAAAATATGTCCTTACAAGTTTGTGTCCAGATGTTACTCCCCTGCAAAGGTGAAAAACTGGTTTAGCCAGACAAAGGGATGTATATTTGCATGACTGCTTAGGTTCATATATAGATTAAGCATGGTAAGCCAAACACAATGGGAGCCACACCTGCATTTCAAGTCAAATGTGGATGTGAAATAAACAGCCATCTGGGAAGACACCTTGGAACCAGCTCCCCAGGAAGGGAATTCACAGGGGTCTCCCCATCTTTGGGGACAAAATCATGAGTTTTTGGAAATATAAGGAACAACAAAAAGACTTTCTGTCATCTATTGATTGAGGAAACCGCTCAAAGGGCAGGGGGTATCCATGAAAACCAGTATCCTAGCTATGACTAAAACAGCTCTGTTAAAGCCTGAATCCTTAGGAGAGAACATATTCTTTCAAACAGGAAAAGGTGACCATCCGTAAGTGTAGACCTGGGATTGAATTTTATGTCTTGTTTTATTTAAAATCTACTCTTCTAATTATCCTTGCTCACTAGCTCTTAAAACCTTAACCTTCGTTTCTAAGTTTGTATTTGTTTTCACTATGAAGAGATTGCAGTGCTGCCTTGCTAGAAAGGATCTGATCCCGAGTTGTTCTAGTCAAGCTGTGCGTACTCTCTCCCTTCAAGGACAGCTTAGCTGGTAATGCCCGTGAGTGCCCAGTGACAAGGGCTGGCTATTCCAGAGGAAGACGCTGGCAGATGGGGCTCAGGGGTTGGGGTGTGATTGTCACTAGCCCGCAGGGGGTGGTTGTGGACATCTGGACGTCAGGGCTTGTCTGGGGCCACAGGCTGTTGGTTTCAGGGAGCTGAGCTACAGAAGGCATCAGGCAAAGCTGCTTCATGCTGTGGGCGGGTGGTGATGAGGCACCTCACACCCTGAATACCGCTGGGGAGTGTCACACACCTATCAAAAATGGAGGCTTAAAATGATCCTTCTGCCCAGTCTCTTAGCTCGGATGCATGATAGCCTCAGCTAATACCCACCTCGGCATATGAGGGTTCTTGCTCCAGTTAAACGAATGGGCTAAACAGACAAACAATGACATGCCAAATCAGCTTAGCATAGCTCCTAGCTTAGGGGGGCGGGTTTGGTGTGAAGAGAGGCAGAGGAATCCCTTTTTCTCCTGAACAGAACTAGAGCGGGATCCCATTGCTCTCCACCCCGCAACCCAGCCCAGAGCTCCAGTTCTTCCCGCCGGAAGAGAGCCAGAAGAGAGCCCAACGACACCACTAATACAATGGAAGGAGTTTGCCCTTGTGGACAGAAGGAATTCCCCCTGCCTTTCTCCCAGTAGCAGTGCTCTATCTAGGCCTACTTATCCAGAGACAAAGTGACCCGGACCTGGAGCCATGTCTCCTGCGTGGTAGGGCAGATCGTTAGCACTAGGCCACAGCGCTAGTAAAGATTTGAGGTGGAATCCTGCTCCCACTGACGTCAATGGGAGTTTTGCCATTAACATCACTGCGGCCAGGATTTCACCACCCTTGATACTTTGTTCCCCATTTGAAACGCCTGTGGTGCTTTGCGGTGCTGCTGCTGAACGGCTGCCACGTTCCGTCCCCAACGTGGCTGCCTCTCAGTGGTGTGTGTGGGTTTCTATTTACAATCTGTGTCTGAGTTACGTTTGTAAAGTGCTTAGGGATCCTTTGGGCCAGAAAGAGTTAAAACGAACGAGAGACTTATCGCTGGTTAATGCACAGTCACCACGGTGTACGTCTAATTAAAATACTTCATTACAGAGTGCCGCTCCACTACGGATCACCCAATGCAAAGACCTACTGGATCTGTGGCAGATGACAGGCATCTCTGGATGAGAGCTTCAAATGTGGTCTTCAGAATAAGGTGCTCATCAGGAATAGGCTTCTTTGTAATCTTCTCCGCTGGCAACGACTGCACATGCTAAAGAAGAGAAGATGGGGTATTAAAGTCACTTTGGAAACTCCTTGGGAATCGTAGGTAACCTATCATTGTTTCTTAAACTCGGCCCAAGTTACTAACAATCTGAGCATGCTCACTTGCTCCTCCCCTCCACGCCTGTGGAGCTGAGATGACTGAAGAGGCAACATTAGCCGTGTCTCAGCTGGGGAGTGCATCCAATGTCTCTTCTTCAGCGGCAGCTGTGAAAAGCAGGGTAGTCGCAGGGAGAAGCTACTCGATTAGCCTGACTGCCTGGCTCGGGACAGTAGCGAGTGCAAAGCAGCAGCGACTAGGTGGTTATGGTTATAAAGTGACAACCCTGAATGAAGATGGTGGATACAAACCCCACTGATGCTCTTTCAGCCGTCTAAGATCCTGCTACTCATAGGAGATGAACACCTCCTGGCATGAGTCTTGTTCTGGTTTGGGGACAGGGGATGAATGCTCTGAGATTGGGGTTGCTCGATATAAACAAAGGATGGGTGGGAAGACAGACACAGGAGATGCCTGTAATAACTGATATATAATCTATGTCCAACTGGTTGCCATTGCATTGTTTGTTATGATTACCAGGGGTTAATTCCAGCAGGAGTTCCTGGCATCTCTGCAGGAAAGGGGACGATGGCTTCAGGTTGCCCCATTCACAGATACCTAACGGGACAGGCATCGCTACCTATGACCAGGCGGAGATCAACCATCAGGAGGGGACCCAGTCTGGGAGGTACTAATCTGTAAGCCCATGGAGGGGCCGTCAGGCAGGAAGCTGGAAACAAAGAACCTTGGGACTGACAAACAGAGATAGTCTAAAGTGGGGGGGGCGGTGGGGAGAGGAGGGAGGACGGGGGACACAGGGGCCATGGAAAGCAAACTGAACTCCAGGCCCCAGAAGTGGGGGTGCCTGGGAGAATCTAGGTCAGACAGATATGCCTGTATATTGTTGTGTTAACCCTCCTGTTTCCTTGTTATGCTTGGCCGTACTGTTAAAGTCACACAATACTTTGGTTTGTCAAAGCTGTACTGGGTCTCTACATTCACACTGGTCACAGCTGTGAAAGAAAGGCTGCTGGCAGCCAAATTTAGTCAGGCCTGCTCAGCCATTACTGTTGGTGCACAGGAGGCTGCAGCCCACCCTCTTGTCTGAGAGTGGGAGAATCGTGAGATTCCACCCTGGAGACGTAAAGCATTGAGGCCTGAAGTGGGTGCACTCAGAGAGACCACTGAAGGGGGCAGAGATGCAGATAGCCTTGAACCGTGAGACGGTTTACTTCATTTTGCCTTGTCTCTCAGCCTCTCTCTGGATTTGTCTACATGAGAAAGTTGTACTGGTTCAACTTAAATTGGGTTTTATACCCATTTAAACTGCGCAAGCCCCCATGTGGACATTCTTACTTCAGCTTAAGAGTGGTTTATTTCAGTTTAGCTGAAACCAATTCCCAATCAACTTACGCTAAACCAAAATAAGCGTGTGCACACAGCCTTTTGAATCAGTTTAGTTAAACCGGTGCCACTTTCTCGTGTGGTTGAGGCCTAAGATGAACAGAGAAAGTTCTCATTCTGTGTCTGTTCCATGCCTAGCACAATCAGTCCCCAATCCTGGATGGGGCGGTTAGGTGCTACCGGAATACAAAACAACATCATCTTAATTACCGTTACCTGTATGGTATTGCCAATTGGAGCTCCTGGTGCTCCCTCTGTACTAGTTTTTGAGATAGCCGGAGGCATGACCGATTGCCCCAGAGGCTGCTGAATAGGCTGGAAAGGATTTTGTAAAATGGGCTGCCCTGATGGAAGATGCGAGGGCTGAAACGTAGCCTGGGCTGCAGGTGGCAGTGAAGTTGGCGGCTGCTGCATCTGGGATTGTGGATCCGGCAGAGGATTCATTATTGGGGATGTGATGGGAACAGGAGGCATGAAGTTATCAGGTATCTAAAGAAAATCAAACAAAAAGTTTACCATGCCTTCTCTGTTCATTATTTCCACAAAAAGGGCTGCATTGTACTAACCCTGTCTTTCAAACACGATGTACCTGTAATACAGAAATGTAGAAAACAATCCCTTTCTCCCAGCTCCTTGTGCATTTTTACTTATGACATATAAATTGACACTGTTGTACAAGTGATAGATAACAAGTACATAAAAGGTCTCTGTTCCAAAGATCTTACAATCTAAAAACCCGATCCAGCAAACACTTACACACATGCTTAACTTCAAGCCAAAGGGCTAGTCACCAACTTAAAAAGCAGGTGATTAAGCGTTTACAGGATTGGGATCTATAGGCAGTAGAGGGTACAACGTAGTGGAATACACTATAGAACTCACAGAGTGGCATACAGTCTTTAGAACATGGCATTTTACTTTCAAGAAAACGAAAGTGTAAGTGAGAATGAATCTCAGTTAATAACAGAAAATTCACTCCGAAATATCCAGATTACTTAATGATAGCATTACTCAGATGGGAAATAGTCTAGGAATACTTCATTTTTTATTGTTTTTTAATCTGTATTGATATTTTAAGATCTTCTTTGCAAGAACAGTTCTTTATTCTCGCCTGTAAAGCGCCTAGCCCACAGCTGGCACTATACAAACAATACAACTTTCAAATGAGAGTCAAGCCTCTGGCAAACAGATTTCTATTAAGTCCAATTATTAGTGCATTTCAGAACTAGTGCCTAAATGTTTGTATGTACATACTGACAAAAGGCCACAAACGTGAGAGTGTGTGTTTGGGAGAGGAAAGAACAAATGACTAAATGGGATGCTGGCTTCAGTTACAACTACAATAACGTGAAAAACAAACCCCAGTTAGACTTTCCACACTTTTTAAGGGTATTAAAAAGGAAACAACAAGAAAGTCCGAGATGCTAAGTGTAGTTCTGGTTTAATGAAACTGTAATTACGGCTGGTTGCTTGTCATGGCAAAAGACATGTTTTGGTCACAGCAAAAAAAGTCACAGTTTTAGCTATAAAAAAGAAAAATCATGGCCCTCAATTTTTTAAATAATAAATATTAAGTCATTAGTCATGGGAAATTATAAAAAAGCCTTGTTTGGGGGGAAAATGCAAAATATCCTTTATTTTACAATAAAAATTGTTTTAAAACCATTTAATAATATTTAAGTAATAGTTTAAAAAACATTATGAAACGCATACGCTATTATACTGAAAATACACAGTAAATAAATCAGTGCGTAAATATTCATGATGGAAGCTTGGCTGGTACCAATTAGGGCATGGTGACAAAGATCATGACTTTTTATTGAAATAACTCCCAAAACCTAAAGATCAGGTTGTGTTACAGAAGCCAGGGCTACGACCAAAATATTCCACGACAACTAATCCAATTAAAAAGACAGCATTTTCTAACCGATTTTTTAGTCATTTATCATCAGGGCGCTATCCATACTGGTATGAGTCCTCCTCCTCTTTGAGAGGATTAACCCTCTCTAAAAGGTACCCCAGACTGACAGCTTTGGAGATCAAAGCCCTGACATTGTCACGTACAGGAACAGTGCAAGTTTCCCCAGCTCCCCTGCCAATGATGTTTGGTAATCCTGACCAGGACAGACAAACTCCAGGGGTTACTAGTTACTGTAGCTTTGTCTCCATGTACATTCACAACCTTATTCTGTGTGCTCAGACTGCCATGAAGAAATGGACAGATCACCACTCTCTCATTTCACGTGGGCCACTATGACGATGCAAGAATTTTGATCACTGCAAAATGTTCCACAATGAACCCAGAGACTAGAACTGAAAGGCTCATTCTACCCTAATAAAAGTGTCATGAGCTCCTCACTCCTGCTATCTACACTGGTCATGCTGCATTTTCCCACCCAGACTCTTTGATAAAGGTAAAGTTTTATATTATGGTCTCTCATCATGACACCTCTCATACCATTAGTAAATACCAGGGGCCAGATCCTCAACTTGTGGACATTGTTGTAACTCGAGAGAAGTCAATGGAGCTATGACAACATATACCAGCTCAGGGTCTGGCCCTAGGCAAACACATTCACCTGCTTTTCTGCAAATAACACTGGTCCATAGTATTTTTGCCCCCAAAAGTGACCATACTGATTATTAACAACAATTTCCCCAAGAACTCAGTCTCCTTTGGATGCATGTTTCAGGGTGTTTACAAATGTATTTCAGGAGATAATATATGCTGAAAATTTACATTTCTTCCTTCCCTTTAAATGCAGCTTTTATTCATGACACAATTAAATTGCTGTTTGATGATAACACTTCATTTTTCTTCTTCCAGCAATGGTTTTCATAACATTTAGTTAAGAGGCTGCTTTTTTAAAATGCATCATACAGTACCTTCTTCTTCTTCGTCATTCTGTTCAATGCAGGCGGATCGTTCCAACCATTTTGAGGTCCTATAACAAAAAAAGGCAACGTTAATCGTGTGTTAGAATCCTAGAAGATGGGGAATAGACCTATTTGCCCCACTACACTTCCAAATTACTGCTCTAGTAACATCTAAAACTCTTAAGCAAGCCTGGCTCTGCCAAAGTTGTAAAACTGGTGGTTATGTGACCTGCTAACCAAAGTCTGGGTTCTCAAATCTGCTACTGCACCACTAATATTCAAGATGGTAGAATAACACATCCCTTGTGCTAAGCAGCAAGCCCTGCAGTTCATCACACCGAAAGCCCTTATGCTCTATCTGCCTCAGAGAGGTTACTTTTTTTTACAGCTAAGCAGGAGTTTGACCTAGTCATCTTGAGCTTCCCCTGCTGTACATCATATAAATCACCTGCATGCACTAAATTAAACTCCTAGTAGTCAACATAAAAAACAAATTCCCAAGAGAGCAATGTTGCACTGCCATACCCTCTGAATGTTGGCAATGTTGCTGGCAGAAACACAGTTGGGACCGCACAGCCAAAGTATGTTAACATAGTCTCTCAGTTACCTATGAAGGTTTCGCTATATCTGTTTGTAACAAAACAAATCAGTCCATTTGCTGGGCAATTTTGTTTGCACAAAGTTAATCAACAGTCGCTACCTCAGAGAAGTTTGGAAAAAAGCAGTTAATGGGCACTGAATTCTACATAAGACATTTTCTGAATGTTGCTGCTCTGCGGTTTTTGAAGGATGTTTACATAGCAACAAGATGTGGTCTCCAACAACAACAAAAGGAAAAGAGAGAATACTCCAAGTGAAGAATAAACATCAGTAGGGCTCCTAAAATCCTAGGTCACATTCACCTGGGTGCTCTAGAGAGACAAGGCAGTCATAAACCAGGTTTACCCAGCCAGTTAAATCAGGTTTATGGTTGTGTTGGGTCACAAAAGCAGAGTAGACTGAGCAGACTGGTGATTCTGGCCCCTTGCGTTCAGGCCAATGTCAGTAGTAATGAGGAAAGAGAAATACAGAATACAGGCTCACTGTTTCTAAATCATTTTTTCAGTGGTTTTCATGAGAAATCAGCTCATTAAAAGAAAGCATTTTGTGTGTACTTGCAAAATTTGCAGTACAAAGCTTAGATTAGTGAATTAAAAATTGTTCCAGTATTTCATTATGCACGTTTAATGGGGACCACTGTATTAAAACTCAACATTAATGCTGCTTAAACTGGGGTAATGAGGATTTATTGTACAAAGCCACAAAAAGCCAAAAGAAAAAAAAATCAATGGACTTTTTCACCACAGTGGTTTTCTTTTAGTAAACTATGAATTCATGTTCACACAGTGGAGTGTGTTACTTCAGTATAGACTTAACTGGACTCTAAATTTAACAAGCACTTAAGAGTTTTGTTAAACAAGTTCCATAGCCATCATGCCCATAAGACCTTAAAGAGGCCTATTAAACAATTAATTAAAAACCTTTTATCTGACTTCTTGTTAACCAAAACTCAGTCACATCCCCTGACCAACAAGATCATCAGGTATTATTTCCTCTACCTATCTGGCACACCAGTTTTCATAAGATTTCAGATATGGAGAGCCTGGCTTTTGTAGCACAGACTAGGACATCAAATTTTTTTTAGCATTACTAATACTGCTAATAATTGTATAGAATTCAGTTAAAATGCATCAACTCATCTCTGTGGTTAAAAATTCCAGTTCTGGTATTATTTATGTTCATTAGGATATTATAAAATTTGATTCAATTAAAATGTATTGACAAAGAGCATTGAATTTAGTGTACTATGAGGGTCACATGCATTCCATTAATTTCGTATTGTGGCTTAATGATTTCCATGTTATACTGTAGCTAGTTCACCTTCCAGGGTAGAGGCCTGGTCTTGAGAAGACTGATTTTCTGTAGATAAAATGCAAAAATAACTAAGGCGTTTAAAAGTAGTAAACATAACCTAACCTGTCATTATTTTTCTCATTAGCTATTTCATTTCAGCAAGTGTGCAAAGCTTGAATTTTGAATCACCTGACAAAAAAATCTCTAATTTAATTAAATAGTCAGTTTAATGATAACATCAATTAGTGCTATATGCTGCCCCATCAACCCTGCAGAATGACTTTCCTCTGCCCTCCCAAAACACGAGTCTGACTTCTTTCCCATTTAGAATGTCATCATTTCAAGTGGCTCCTAATAATTGTTGCAGAATCCTGACTCGCTTTGTTATCAGGCCAACTGAACCAAGAGACTACTCATCAGAGACAAAATTCCCTCATCACAATGGCTTCTGCTCAGGAAAGCATTTAAGTATGTGCTCAAAGAGCTAGACTTCAGTAGGACTTAAGCACATGCTTAAGTGCTTTCCTGAATCAAGACCTATATGATTATTTTGTATTTATACTGTGTGTCAATATCATGTTTGTTATGATATGAGGTTCACACAGAAATATAAAACAAGTTCCCTGCCCTAACTGAGCTGACAATCCAAATAACATGACACAGCAAGATATTTTGCATCCTCTAGAAGGGAAAAGGGGAGCACTAGACAGCTAATCTATTTGTTAGGCACATCTGTCACTAACCCTGGTTTTTAGAGATTTATAATCCTTGCACAAACTTCTCACTGGACTGAGACGTGCACTGTCATAACCCCAAAAAAGAAGGAATACTGTGCAACAATAAACATTACTTATGCTTAAGATGGATGCCACAGATAGGTTCCTTAAACATCTGCTGTTGTAAAAGTCCAGATGGTTTAAAATGAAATTTGAAAGCACTTAATTTCTAATATGATCTTATTGATATTGCTTAGCCTACCAATTTTTACATTTTTCTGTAAAAAAAACCGAATGGAAAAAACTGCCCACGGAGTTCTAGCTTTTATACCTGCATCTTTGAAGGATGCTGGTTTACTGCATATATCCTTTAATCTTAAAGAATTAGATTTTTATTTTTGAATGAATAAAGTTTAAAAAGAAAAACAAGCCACATCAAAATTATATTAAGATCCTGGATTACAACATATGAACGCACAGAAATTCAAAGTCAAGGATCAGACCTCCATTACTAGGCATAACCATCCTGTTTGCTTAAATTCATAAACTTTGGTAGACACTAAACATCATGGATTGAATAGACACACTGGATTAATGGTTTATTACAACAATCTATAATCCACTAACAACCCTTCATCCCTCCTCCCTCCCTCCCTATGACTGGAGGGGTGTTAAGAGACCATTCAAGGTGAAGTGGCCTGTGGAAATGTGTGTTAATTACTTATGCTAAACGATCTGTTCCACCTTGTATTTAGCTGTGACACTGATAAAGGGCAGGTTTCCATACATGTAAAATGCTGCAGCTGCGCTGCTAAAGTAAAGATGCTCCTAGGCCAACTGGAGAGCTTTTCACACAGAGCTGTATACGGGGAGTGGGGATGGGGGGTTAGGTCGGTATAACTACGTTGCTCAGGACTGAAGAAGAGCTCTGTGTAAATTTGTCTCTCTCACCAACAGAATTTGGCCCCATAAAAGATATTACCCCATCCACCTCATCTCTCTGTTTGCACCTAGACATTTGGAGATACAGCTATGAGCTTAACATTGGCTTTATGTTTTTATGTATTTAATATAACGGTCCCTTACTGAGTGGCCTTTCTCACTATTCGGCACAACTTCTGTGAATGACGTTGGTGGCTAAGGCATGGTAAGTACAGTCTATTTATCAAGATTACTCCGAGGGGATGGAGTTTGAACAGAATATATATTGTACTTTCAGCATTAAAAACATTTTAAAAAGCAAGTTTTCCCTCTCTGGTTGGTACAGTTTTCTGAACAACCTGAACAGAACAGTCTGTTGAAGGTTCCCTGAAACATCATCTTTTTTTACAAAGTTCCCTCAATTGCAGCCATATGGTTCCAACTCAGCGGCCCAACCCTATGCAATAGAGCAATTCAGCCCTTAAGATGCAATGGGACTAAGCACGTGACTAAAGTTAAACATGTGCTCAAATGCTCTAGTGAATAGGGATGGATTTAAACACATACTTAAAGGCTTGCGGCACTGCGGTCTCAGTGCTGAAATCTGCTAATAATCAATTAAAAGAATTTTCAATACCCAAGTTTAAAAGTTTTAAACTTTACACCAGATCTCCCCTCCTCCCGCCCCCCGCCCCAGGACAAATTCAGCCCATATTGCTAATGTTGACAGAACTTGATAAAAAGAAGTGTAGGTCACCTTTGAGCAAAACGTGGAAACTGAAAGTGGCCTATATTACAGTGTTTGTTACTAAGGTTGGAAGCTTCTACAGTGCCTGAGAGCTGTACCCTACTTTGAAAGAGTCATATAGACTATATTGCTTAAACTTTTAACACAAGAAACTTAACAGATGACAGATCTCTCAACTGCATTCTAGTGACCCAAATCTAATAGTAAAATGGATTAGAGAGAAAACTGTTAAAGCGGTTTCCTGCTACCCGCATTTTTTGGAAGGTACAGGAGCAATGCTGTCTGCATTACAGTGTGCAGCTTTGCTTCTGCAAGGCCAGGAAACTTGGAAGCAACTCCCACTCCATCCATTTTACTAATACCTCCATCCTCACACAAAGATGGGGAAGGGTATCCAACTGCCTCATCATGAAGAGGAAAGGAGAAGGTATTCTGTCCGTTTGTAGAACAGATAGGATATTAACAGTCTCAGCAAGATGCACCCTTTGGGAAGACACATCTCTACAATGTTAAACAATGCTGCCCAGGCTGACAGGCCCCCAAAACTGACCCCACTCTTCCCTGGACAGAGTGGACATTTTCCTCCTACCGTGTGTGTATAAATGTAATACTCATGAAAGGAACTGGAGCCACAGCCCGGGAGACAGCAGTCCTGTTTATCCAGAGAATAGGCACAGTGTGGGTAGGGGCAGAACCAGCTTCAGATAAATGCAAGTAACATCAGTGTGCCCCCAGCCACCCTTTGGAGCTCCTCCTGGTGAAGGGTGCCTCATTCCTGACCCAGCTTGATTGCTCAGGTTGGTCAGAGAACAGATCAACTTCCACTCCCATTCAAGCCATGACATCTCTGATGAGATGGACAATAATGTTGCCAATTAGTACCAAGTGGGTCTGGGCTTTTTGTGTTGGGGAGACTTGTTCATTGGGAAGGGACCGAGACCGAATACATTTCACATCGATCAACAAACAGCATCAGACTTTCAGTCACTACCAACCTGGGCTGGATTCCAGCTGGCAACCTAGAGGCTCTATATCCCATTAGCAGCGCCTTGAGCAAACCATTTCCCCACCAGAAAGGACATTTAAAAGAAAGTTTAATGGTTTGGTCTCAGAGCCCATTAACAGGACACTGTCCCTTTAAACAATGGAATCCTTGCCCAAACACAGCCCTGTTTTCAATTACTCCCTTATCCCCTTTGAGTTAACAGAGCAGAGCGAAAACAATGTTTAAATCAGAATTGCTCACGCTCATGTATACATCAGGACTGGAAATGTTGTTTAAAAGTTAGCTGAGAAATAAGTGACATTAATAAAGAGATAGGTCGGTCATCATGCAAAAGGTCACTAAAGCTGCTCAAACTGAAAACAACAGTAAAGGATGCTTGGGTCACTCTGTTATCATGCACACTCAAACATGCTCTTGTGCTCTAGCAACAGACACATGCTATTTTTGTTTTATTTGTTTATCTTATAGAAAAAACATGCTGTTGAAGTGTTTCTAAATGATTTGTGATGATCTTTCGGGGCATTCATAAGCACAGTAATCCCATCACAGCTGATGATTAGGAAAACAGAGCTAATGACTGCATCTCCGTGAGGCTATTCAGTAGAAAGGGCTTCTTAAATTAAATTTGATCCTACACTGGGCTTGACTCTCCTTTCATTTATAGATGTGTGTGACTTGGGGATGACACTACTGAGAAATTATGCTAGTAAAAATGGTGCGAGTAAGAAGAGAACCAGGTTCACTGCATCCACGATGGTTTGATATTTGCTCATTTTTAGGTATTGGTTCACCAACCACATAGCAATTTTGGCTCGGTCCACACGATGGTTAAAATTGTGCCGCATCAATTGCGTATGAACACTGTTCCTCTGACCACGGCAGACAGAGATTCTTTTTCTATAGCGCAGCATGACTCTCAGAAGATCTCTGTACACATTGATCAGGGAATCAGAGCTATTATGCTAGCACGGTTTCAGCTATAGTGGACAAGGCCTTACAGCTGTACTAGGCCCAGAAAGGATAATGTCATTTTTAGAAACACTGTGCATTAACCCTAAAACGCAGCCAAATTTTATATTAGTAATTCACCAGAACACACAAACTACAACAACAAAAATCCACATAAGCAAAATAACTCCTTTCAAGCGCAGACCTGTTCTTTGGGATGCAGGAAGCTCATTGGTTGCAGGCAGAGTACCTGTTGGTCCAGTAGACAGTGCATAAGCCACAGAAGTTGCTGGAGCTCCTTGTCTGCCATGCTGGAAGGATGCACCAGAAGGAGGGGCGGGGAAAGAAGAGCCAGGATTCAAGCTTGTTGGAGAGGGTTGAGGTTGTCCTGGATATAACTGAGAGGGCGCGGAATGGGGAGAAGCAGGAGGCATATAGGGAGGGTTAGCGTAGGAGTTTGAAGCAGGAGGAGCAATAGGTTGTTGAGGCTGATAGAGTGCTGGTCCCCCCGTTCCATAAGAATACTGCTGTGTTGGCTGATAAGCTACATAGGGGAAGAAGAGGGAGAGGTTTTGTTAGTAACATTACTAGACTAGGAGAAAGCTACTATCCTCTCCAGTTTTGATGCCCCATTCCCTCTTCCTAGCTACCAAGGATCACAACTTTCCTCCTGATTTCAGTTGAGCAGAACACTTACATTTTAGACTAGTTTGATGGCTTAATAAAGTAGAAAAATTCCCCGTCATGTAGGACACCTAACTTGAATAGCAAGCTCAGGCCTCAGATGTTGTGGGCCTTTCTCCAAAAGCCAGCTATGGCAGAGAGTCTTGCTACTGGTAGGGAATGAGCTAATACCCTGCTAGCGCAGGTTAAAGGTGCCAGCTTGTCCCTCTCTGCAGCGGAGGATCAGATTTCACATCAGCTTCCCTTAGTGGCCCACCTCCTCCCTTCCCAACCCACTTGAAATGGCTTCCTGGCTAGCCAGGTCCCACTCCCACAATGCGGTGCTTGGATTCAGAGGGCCATGTCACCTCACCCTGTTGCTGGAGCCTGGAAGGCAATGGGAATTATGTCCTTTTTCACAAAGACCTTGATTATCGGCAGCTCTCTGCTTCTCTCCCAAAACTCATAAGTGTCAGGCCATTACACAACCCATACACTCAAAATTAGCAGGTGAGGAAAATTAACAGGTTTTAGAAAGACTGGTGGCTACTTCTGTGGGAGCCTTCTAAATGTGGAAAGTTAGGAGCAACATCATCCACACGATACCTCTGTCAGGTAGAAAAGTAAGGTCCCCACTTGACAGACGGGGAAACCCATACAGAGGAGATAAATGACATCCTCGCAGTCATAGTTAGTAGCAGAACCAAGGCCAGGACTCAGGTCTCCTCACTGCAAGGCCCTGATCTCATCACTAGATGACACAACTCGAACACTGTGCCTGGTCTAATCTTGGTGTTTGTCATTTCTCCTCTGCTCCCGTAGGATCCTTTCTCCATATTCTCTCTCTCTCTCCCCGCCCCCGCACCCCGGTTACTCGTCCACATCCCGTGTTTCTTTTGTTATTATTTGTTTTAAACAGGCTACTGCAGCTTCCCCGTCCTCGTTAATCTCCATCTTTGCCCTTATCTATGGTCTCTTCCCTGTCCCCTTTTTCTCTGTCTCTCTCTCACACTTTGAGCCAACTCTGCAATAGCTGAATTAGGTTAAGTTCCTTCTCAACAAGTAGGCATGCTGCTTGAGAAGTACCTGGCTCTGGAGTACTCGTAGGGATCTTTGGCCCTCTGAGCTTTTAGGAAGGGCCAGTCTAGGCCTCAAAGTAAGATTTGTTGGTAGCCACCTGCTTAATTATAATTTAGCTGTTTAATAGTGCCACATCATCCCTGACAAAATACCCCTCGGTATGGCGAGTGAGCGGGAACAGTAGCAGGAGCTTTTTGTGGATTCTTCCCTCACCCAAAGGGTGGCACTGGTTTCCCCATTGGTCTGAACCTCCCAAACAAACTCACTCATGCGAACGCTGTGTAAATAAGCCATTGCTACTTACTCTGCGGGTACGGCTGTCGTGCCCCCGCCTGCGGGTACACGTTGTAGCCGGGAGAGGCGGCCTGATGTGGCGACACATTCGGATGAGCAGCCCCGGGTGGCATAATAAAACCTGGGGGTGGAGGATTGTCTCCCTGGGAAACAAGAATGCAGTAAAGAGAAAAGAGATTAGATGTAGTCGGTGCTGCTAACAAGTCGCCAGAGGAGTCGTCGAATGGGATTTCACAATTTCATATTTAAAGGCCTTGAATTGACATGAACAGAAAATAGCCATCGCCATTGACATAACTGTGCTGATCATTCCACCACCTCCGTGAGCCAGGCTTTTTGAACAATATAAAGGTGAACCACAGCCAAAGTGATGCACTATCATTTAAACAGGAAATGAAGAAGCAGACATCCTTAGAACACAAACCCCTTCGATATAATGAAGAGATGATGTGTAGCAAGTCACAAAAAATTGCCATCTAGATATTTTAAGACACTTTTTAAAGGTTAAACCTGATATTTCCAACATTAGGGGGAAAGAGAGAGAAAAAGACTACTCTTGCAACACTTGCATGATTCCTCAGCCAAAAGGAAGCTATAGAAGTTCTCACTTGAACTTAAATTTTGATTAAACACCAGCTAATGCTTTTTCAAGGCTAGCCGTCCGGGTGATATCTGGAAATGTAACAAGAGCTGAATGGAAACAAAAAAATCAGATTGACCTGAACACCTGTTGCTGTCTCCCGAATGCACCGGAATGCATCAAGCATACAAACTGTATACGGGGGTATTTATTTAAAGGGAGCAGGATCTGCTCAAAGAGGAATAATGAATGTTATACCTGTGTGTCAGAGGGAGAGGCTGCAGGAGGATGGCTGGGAAGGGCAGTAGGAGTTTTGTTACTCCAGGTAGTGACAGTAGGGGCAATTCTAACCTGAATTGAACAAAGAAATACCAATCACGGAAAATAAAATAAAACAAAACAAAACAAAAACACCCTAAAGGGTATCACATTACCAGATGCAATGCAGGTTATAGGAACTCTGTGAACACACAAAAAAATCAGGCATCCCAGTGCTTCAAAGCAGCCATGCAATCAAGATAATAAAATAAAAATAAAGACAGAGCCTAAATCATTGCATATTCAAAAGCAAAAAGAGAAGACAAGAGGTCAAGAGTGTTGGTATCTAAAGAGAACCACAGCAGGAAGATGGAGCATAGAGAAAGTACTAACAGTTAGAAAGCGGACTGGTGTTTGAACGGCATTATACATGCCCCTAAAGCCAGCTCTGTCAGAGTGTCATTATTACAAAGCCCCCTTTTATCACATTTTCGTAACTGCTGCAAAAATTCACCCCATGCTGAGGCCTCACACCAAGCAGCACTTACACAATAGCCTATAAGTTACAAGGCTTCAATGAAATGGAAGTTGACTGCCTTCATGTAAGTGGGGTTTGTTCAACTTGGGTTCAGATGACCCTCTCAGGTGTTTTATTTTAAAAAGTAAAATTTGAAATCCAGCTGTAGCACATGCACAATAAGCTTCTTTCTCAGTGTTAGTCTCTTCCCACAACTGGGTCCTCAGAGTTCCCACGGGATACCAGATATCTCCTATGCCCATGTTTTCCGTACTTTCCCAAGCCCTTAGCCCTACATTGTAATCACTATCTTCCTGACCAAAGATGAATGAGCAGGACTCTGTTGGCTCATCTAGATCACATCTTTAGCTGCGGAGAGAGGGCACTGTTGAGGAATGGGAGATACTGCCGTACACTGAATTCATAGTGCCTACGTTGGATGTCAGAGGAAGGAGACAGGAGGTGAGCCTTAAATCCAGGTCTTTGCATAGTTAGAGTAAAAGCAACAATATTAAGTTACCACCTGGCTCAGGAATGACTTTAATACATCTACTTCTAATAATAGCGACGGTTTGTTTAGTCTGGAGAAGAGAAGACTGAGAAGGGACATGGTAACAGTTTTCAAGTACATAAAAGGTTGTTACAAGGAGGAGGGAGAAAAATTGTTCTTCTTAACCTCTGAGGACAGGACAAGAAGCAATGGGCTTAAATTGCAGCAAGGGCGGTTTAGGTTGGACATTAGGAAAAACTTCCTAACTGTCAGGGTGGTTAAGCACTGGAATGAATTGCCTAGGGAGGTTGTGGAATCTCCATCGTTGGGGATTTTTAAGAGCAGGTTGGACAAACACCTGTCACGGATGATCTAAATAATACTCAGTCCTGCCACGAGTGCAGGGGACTGGACTAGATGATTTCTCGAGGTCCCTTCCAGTTCTATGAGTCTATGTATTTTTTTAATATAATGAGTCATTACAACAACAAATAACTTCCCAAATATGTATGTGCATGATTTGATCAATAATCAGTTTGCAATTTTAAAAAGTTAATTAGATGCTTTTTGCCTACTGAAAAAAAAAAAAAAAAAAAGAGTATTATAATGCAACACAGAGGGAGACCCATAATTAAGCACATGTTTAAGTGCTGGCCTGAACAGGAATGATGGACTCACAAATGTGTTTAAGTGCTCTCCTAAGTTGAGGCCAATGGCAATGAAATGAAAAGTGAAGGCTCAAATACTACGTTTTACTTTGCTCTGTCCAATCTACATACTGTTGCATGTCCGTCTGTAACACCCCGTTAATATCAAATCCCTGCAGTACCTAAATGTGGAATTGTGTTTTTAATACAAGGAACCTGCAAGTCAAAAATTTCTTTGCACAGTTCACTTGGAATGTACTTGTTGGTTTGAGTTTAAACCATAATTTTACCTGTAAGTAAGTTTTGTTGTTTTTTATTAAATAAACAGAGGCAGTTCTCCCATCCCCTTCCTAGCATTTAGCTCTAACGGGTAGAAAACGTGAAACTTCAGTTTGTAGCATTACCAAGACCATCTCGTATCTAGGAAAGCTAACATTTTCCATAACAGAACATGAAGGTTATTGCGACTGCAATATCACCTTTAAATACAATTCATTGATTACAGGAAGGAAGGTGAGAGAGAAACAGAAAGGAAAAGCTGGTTTAATTATTTGTAATAAAGTATCTGAAATCAAGCACAGAAATGTTTGCATAAATCTAATGAAGTCTTATGCCCACTCAGAAAGTTACTTTTCGTAAGTTCTACATCCAGGATATCATTTGGGGTTAACTCTGCAGTAAGGCATTCAAAGCCACCAATATACAAAGGAGGACAACAATGCCAAACATCCTGACCCTTCAGCCTTTCCTCTTCCTTCTGCCCTCAAAAAGACAAATAATTTCGTTTCCCTGATGCGATGCGATGCAGCATAACCCCCTCCGCAGCCAGAATCCAAAAAAAACTGGGAAGATGCAACTACTTGATTTACTTGAAGCATCTGATGCCTCAAGGCCAGAAAGTGTGAGCATTCCAGTAAATCCACACCATCAGCACCCAGGATGTGAAGGGAAACCCAAAGCGCAGACCTAGTTTCTCATTTCCATTTTGTCCATTTAAAAACAGTTCCTATACCACTAATACACACCTTCCGTTCTCAAGGAATTAACTGAAAGCAGCTAGTGGCAAAAGGGCCAGCCGATCAACAATGGCTTGCTAATGGATTGGCAATCACACTTAAACTAGGGGAACAGCTGAGATGGCGTGGCCTGCACCATCCCATTTGCATTACAGCAAAGCCGGC